AGTTCAACAACCTTTCACCCTGAAATATGGTATCTCATCTAAATAGGGATAATAGGGATCATAGGAAATGGGCGCAGTTGTTCTTTTTTCCTTAGTTGTTTTTTCCCCACCTCTGTAGAATAGACAATGAAAGGATAGCAGTCCACCAATGAAATCATTGCATAGATTTCCACAGCTGTAAACATGATCAAAGACAAAGCATGGCACAAAGCAATAGAGCCTGATTTGCTTAGAATGCTGTTGCTTCCTTTTCCAGGCCTGTTTTTTGTGAGCTAATCCATGAAGCCTATATAAAGACACATTTGTTTACCTATAATAGCTAAATATAAAATGTGTACAGTTTGTAGCATGACCAGTTAGAACTTTTGGAGCAGTGTCATCCAGTTTTCTGAATTTTAAATGTACATTATGTTTATCTTTTTAGGCATATCTAAAGGCAACATTTTTTTTTTTGGGTAGAGTGGAGAGAGATTAAGGCACCTGTTGGGTTTTTATTGCTGCGTTTGGGGATTCACCCTTTTTATTTCTCCCAGTGAAAGAAAATCCCAAATTTTGAGTTGTCACCAGAACAGGAATAGAGAGGAAATCTTCCAATGGAGTTCTGGTGACAACCAAGGATTTCCTTCAGTTTGGATGCATTTCCTCTAACTTTCTATTGTGGCTATGGAACAGGAAGTTAAGGGAAATCTCCCCAGTGAGCCTCAAAACACTGACAGGGGTTATAACCCTCCCTTAATCTATACAAAATGAAGAAAAAAAGTGTTAGCTTTGGATTTAGTTTAAGGACTGATGTGAGAAAGAGGGTAACTTTTGAATCAATAAAAACACCTTTCCTGCTAGAAAATGATGCTAATTCTAGAGACCTAAAGGAAATTGCAGATGGCTAGCATAAAAGGTACATTAATCAACCATAACATTATGAGCACCAACCTAATATTGAGTAGGCTCCCTCATTTGTCAGCAAAACAGCCCTGGCCCATTGAGGCATGAATTGCACTAGACCTCTGAAGATATGCTGTGGTATCTGGCACCAAGCCATCAGTAGCAGATCCTTTAAGTCCTGTACGTTTGGGAGGTGGGATCTCCATGGATCGGATCCCACAGATGCTCGATTGGATTGAGATCTGGAGAATTTAGAGCCCAAGTCAACACCTCAAACTCATTGCTGTGTTCCTCAAACCATTCTTGAACCATTTTTGCAGTATGGTGGGGCGCATTATTCTGCTGAAGGAGGCCACTGCCACCATGGAATACCGTTTTTATGAAGGGGTGTACTTGGTCAGCAGCAATGTTTAGGTAGGTGGTACGTGCTGGTAACAGCCACATGAATGACCGGACCCAAGGTTTCCCAGCACAATATTGCCCAAATCATCACACTGCCTCTACTGGCTTGCCTTCCTCCCATATTGCATCCTGGTGCACACGCACCAGGCCTTACAAATGATGTAAAAAAACATGATTCATCAGACCAGGCCCATGTGCCCATCGTATGCGCTTTTGGCTCTGGACACAGGTCAGTATGGCCCCATACACAACAAACTGCAACACATTGTGTGTTCTGACACTTTTCTATTGGAACCAGCATTACCTTTTTTTGTGAAATTTGAGCTCCAGTAACTCTTTTGTTGGAACAGACTACACCGGCCAACAAGCTTTGCTCCCCACGTGCAACAATGAGCTTTGGCTGCCCATGACCCTCTTGCTGGTTCATAGATTTTATTTCCTTGGACTACTTTTGGTAGGTCCTGACCACTGCAAGCTAGGAACATCCCACAACAGTTGTAATTTTGGAAATGGTCTAACCCAATCATCTAGCCATTACAATTTGGTTCTTGTCAAAGTCACTCAAATGCATATGATTGCCCATTTTTGTTCTGCTTTTAAACACATAGACTTCAGAGACAAATTCATTTGCTGCCTAACATATCTCACTTAGGCTGCATCCCCTAAATCATCTATCAATGTAAACGGAGTTGGCTCTGGCTATTCTGGCAGGAACCCAATACCAATGAAAGAGAAACTTAGGTGGTTTCCATAATAGAAGAAACAAAAGGAATATCTAGCTGTACTCAGCCAAGGTTTGCCACAATCCTCCAGATCCACAGGGGGACTCTATGTCCTGTTCTCAATAAGCAATAGAGAAGAAGGGGAGCCAATGGCATTTAGTGTGGGTTATAACATTGAAATACATTTAGGCGTCCCTGGAGCATGGAGGAAATTGTGTTCAAAAGCCATTTTAGTGTACGGGAAAGAGCTCAGCCTCACCAAGGCCAGTATCGTATACCTCAGTTGTAAATTGTGAAAAAGTTCAGAAATAGGCACAGCATGATGTACTTGAAGAGGAGGCCCAGGTGAGAAAATTGCAAGAGGTGAAGAAATGATGGATGTGGGTAAACCCATAAGCATGTTACCCAGCAAAAGACTTGGTGTGGGTCAAGCCAAGAGCGGATGGGGGGAGAGGGATTGGGTTATTGAGGATTGGCAATAGGGTAAAAAAAAAAAAATAGCAAATAAAGAATAGCAAATAAAATCCTAGACCTTCAAACTATGTGTTAATAGAGGGCTCAGTGCTCCCCACATATTCGGGCTGCGGGCTTCCGGGTATTGACCGCTGACTGCTTTCCTTGGCTGGGCCAAGATGATGTTACCGGGGTGCATGCGCAGGAATTCAGTCAGCTTGCCATTGCCAAATTTGTACAATGAACTGCGCATGAGCAGCTCACTGTGCAGGGCCGGACAGGCAGGTAAGTAACTTTAATGCAGAAGACACACAATATATGTAGCATATTTCTTCTGCATTAAAAATCCTGCCTGTTTCACCCTTTTTTTGCCATAAAGTTCCACTTTAATTAGAAAAATGCATCCATCATATCTAAGTAAGTGCATTTGTATAAGAGAAATGTTTATACATCTCAATCCTTTCATTAGGAAAAAGGCAATTAGAGGCAGCTTTGGAATATAAAATGGACATGAAAATGTTAACCTGAGGAGAAGTGCATGTGTGGCTCTGTAGGTGTCAACGTCTAACTTTTACTAATTTCTTTTTTCTTTTTAGGGAGATGCTGGGGGACCTCTAGCATGCAGGGAACCATCTGGACGATGGTTTCTAGCTGGAATAACCAGCTGGGGCTATGGGTGTGCAAGGCCCTATTTTCCAGGAGTTTACACCAGGATAACATCTGTCCGCAACTGGATTGGACAGACTTTACGTTTATAAGGGATTCAACTCAGGGAGTGGCAAAGTCAGAAGGCCAAATGGATCATTATAAAATGCTTGCAGGGAAGAGCTAAACTGCTGACCTTAGAGCATGGAATGACCACAAAAGGACATTTTACTGCCCAGTTGACTTGTACGCTTTTGAAGTGGACCATTTAGACTATTTTGTATAAATAAAGGTGACCGATTGTTATGACCACCTTATGAAGAACTTGTGTAAGACATGATTGCATGCACCCGATCACTGGGACACAAATTAACAGCACAATGTTAACTGGTTACAAGTTCATTCTAATATAGGAATACAATAAAAATGATCAGAGTGCTACATCTGATATGACTAGAGGATTTATAGACAGCAGTGGTTTAAATAAATTAAAGAGGATCTATCTTCATATAAGCTCTCCTCTGTTTTTATGTGCACCTCACGTTCTTACAGAAGTCCTGAAATACTTACCTAGAATGCAGAAATTGAAATCACTAAGATACCAGAGTGCACAGCCATATAAACAAATGCCATGACATGAAATGTGGTTGATTTCTACTTCAGCATTGGCTAGTCGACTGGTTGCTGCTGGATCCTGGAGCAGCAGAAGTTTCCAAAGAATTTCAGGCCTTGTGCAAGCCTTTCTTACTTTGAAAGAAAGGATGGGCTTATATGATAGGTCCACTTTAAGTCACAACAGGGCATATCACACCAATAAGCAGCTCAAAATAGATTGAAGCGCTGCTGAACTTCCATTATCTTTTGATACCCCCCAAAAATGGAAACATTGTAAAGAAATTATGTAGCATGTGCTAGAGTGAAATGTAATAGTTTTTATTCATTAATAATGATTTGTACATTCTGCTCATTCACACTACAGGCAGCAATGTTGAGAAAAGACCTAATATTTTGGAAATTACTTTAAATAAACGATAGTGACAGCACTAAAGTATTAAGCACTCAAAGCCTTAATTTCTCAAGTAATTAACTGGCAGCCACAATAATGAATCACAATCATTTTTATTTTGTCATCCTTGTGTCCATCATGAAAAATGTAAAAATGAAGACAAAAGAGAATGGGGAAGACAAAAGCAAGATGACATCAGCAATCACCTTCTGATAATCTGTAACAGGGTTGTAATGAATATGTATGGGATTTTGTATGAAAACCAAAATTACCTACTGATTAAACACTACTTTTTTCACATCTGTCTCATCTGTTAAAAAAAATAACAGCTGTACCATTAAAAACCAGTTTGGTAGAGAAGAGCCAAAACAGATACAATACATTTAGAAAATGTGGCCAAGTTTAAAACAAAACATGTATTACTGACTTGACAAGTGCTGCTTTTACGGATGCTGTTCATTTGTATTTTTTTATAGATGCCCATAATTGTAAAAGGTAATATTTTACACAACATATATACGATTCCAAATATATCCAACAGGATAAAGATGGTACATAGGAGGCAAACAATTGTGGGAAGCCCCTATGAACCAGACATGAATAGACAGCATAGAAACAAAAATATCAGTCTTATTACACTCCTGCACAGAAGGCTGCCAATGAGAAATTCATCAGAACTGCTACATTAAGGATACATGTAACAGCAGGTTAAGCATCAGTTCATCAATGGCATAGTCATTAGGTTTATAATTTAAAATTGAACCCATTAACTGCCAGTAGCTGCTCCCTGCATAATGGGAATGGTAAACTCATGGCTGTTTAGTTCCCGATGTCAGCAATAGAGGTCAGTTAGTGTAGGGTTCTGTTGGATGAAGATGTCCCGGCTCATGTCACATCTTAGCACGCTCTCGCTGTAGCCTGGAGTTGTAAGCTCTGGATACGGTATTCCAGGCATCCATGTATCTGTCCATGCACATTGCAATGCACTTCTGTGGTACAAAACAAAAGCCATTACTTTATGACAGCTGGATTCCCAAAACAAACCCGAAAATCCAGAAAAAGGCATATGCACTACTCTTCTTTTATAAGTGTTTTCATACGACGTTCAAGAACTATGGTTTTACAGTGTAATCCCATCCAATTTAAAACTGCCCCCCCCAAAAAAAAAACAAAAAACTGCATACTACAAATAATAAGCAAACATTTTTTTACGCCATCCATACATATAAACACTATACAGAAAAACAATGTTTTAAAACACGAACATACATTACATAAGAAATGTACAAAATTGTGTTAATTTTTTAAAAGGCATTTTACACTTTCAAATGTTTTTGTTATTTTAACCATTTCAGCTCTTTGGACATACTATGTACGTCCAAAGAGTGAACCTGTAATCACAAACTAATAACTGCAGTAGCAGCCATCAGCTTGTGTAGATTTTGTTAAGCCTGTTTGAAAGTGATGTGACAACTTCATAGCTGTTGATCACTGTCCGTGAAGCTGGTGGTGCGGTGCTCCACCCTCTCCCGCGCTTCCTGGGATCTCTCGCTCTTATTGGAGCTTTGGAACATGACCACCAGCTAGAGGAGGTAGAGCACTATGAGACCAAGGCAAATCCATGTCTTGATCTCACATGTAAACACTGAACTGTACTGGCCAGGGAAGGGTGAATCTGAAACTGGAAGTGACATCACTTCCAGTTTCAGATGCACCCGTTCTTGGCCAGAACAGCCAGGTGACAGATCTACCCAAGCCAATCTGCACATGGTTAGTTGGTGTGAAGGGCAGGAGAGACATTGGAGTCTATTAGAGCCTTGATGTCTCCATAAAGAGTACCTCTCACTTGCCCAATGCTATCACATGAGGGTTTATTAACCCCTTGTGATGGCAATCAAGTAAAAAAAAAAAAAAAAAAAAAAATTAAAAATACCAGAAGTAAAAAAATAAATAAATAAAATTCTAATAAAATATATTTTTAAAAAAATTACCATAGCCCCCGTTGCCCAGCACACCTGCACAAACAGAAGCCCAGGGTGTGCACACATATGTAAACTGCGATCGCACCACATGTGTGAAATATCACTGCGAACGTCAGAGTGAGAACAATAAATCTAGCACAAGAGCTCCTAGTTAACTCTAATGAGCTTTAAAGGCTTTTGAAGCATCACCCATGGTAATTTTTGGGCACAGTAGTTTTTAGCTATATTAAGACATGGATGTTTGGTATCTATTTACTCGATGTAGCCTTATATTTTAGATTTTAACCAAAAATGTTTTTTTTTTGCACCAAAATTCAATTTTATTATATTTGTTTCCTAAAAATTTGCATTTAATAAACAGTTGTGCAGATGTGACATAACTGAAAATTTTTATCACCTTTTTTATTCTACAGGGCCTCTGCTTTCAGAAAATATAAAATGCTCTGGGGGGGTTTAAGTAATTTTATTGCCAAAAATTAAGATTTTTACATGCATGCGGAAAATAAAAAGAGAAACTGCTCTGGAGATGAACTGATTAAATAGGTATTAGCGTAGTTGTCCCTTGTTTGCCTTACCTTGTACTGATGGGCTTACATGTTGCTACAGTTTGAAGTGTCATGGCTGGTTGATCCCCCTATATTCATGCATGTCCCTATTCACATGAAAAACAGGCAACCTTTTGCAGGTCACACAGCATCCAGTGCATGTCTATGCATTTCTCTTTTGCATCACAAAAATGCGTGAGTGCTAATGTGATGAAACAAAAAACATCTCTTCCAGCATGGTAAGCTCTGTTAATTGATCTCATTGGTAAAGCAATAGACTGAGACCCAGGGATTCTGAAATATGCATTTTCTTCACCGGAAAATTCAGCTCTTAAGCTGGCCATGGATAGATCATTTTGTTTTGATGATTTATTTTAATACAGGTACTTATATGGCGCTGTCAATTTACACAGTGCTTTACACCTATTGTACATTCACATCAGTCCCCGCCCTCAAAGGACTTACAACCTAAGATTCCCAACTCACATTCATACATACACATACTAGGGCCAATTTAGATAGGATACAGTTAACCTACCAGCATGTCTTTGGAGTGTGGGAGCAAAACCACACAGGCACAGGGAGAACATGTAAACACCAGGCATGTAGCGATGTGGTTGGAATTCAAACCGACAATCCTAATGCTGCTAGGCAGAAGTGCAAGCCACTTACCACTGGGCTGAACCCCCCCCCAAAAAAAAAAAAAAAAAAACACAAACTCCCATCCACACATTTGGTGGGTGGAGGTGAATGGGGGAATCCCCCCACTGCACTAGTGTATTCTGGCAGTGGGGGAGGTGTTATGTTGCCTGCCCACTGTCTGGTTTAACCCCTAAAAACCCACACCAGTGTTCTGCAATTGTGTGCACGTGGTTAGTGGTTGAGTTTAACAGGCAGGGGATATTCTTGCCGCACTGCGATACAAAACATTATGGCATTTGTACATCCCCATTGCCTGCTATTGCAGCTTAAGGGGTGCAACTGGGATTTGTGGGGGCTAGCTAAAAAACACATCTCAGCCGCAAGAGTAAACACAGCCCAAGGGTGTAAGCCACATACCTGCTCTGAATTATCCAAAGAGCTTCCTGGCTTTCCAACACATTTTCGAAAACATTTCTCTGTCATTCTCTGTCAAGGCAACAGGACACTCATCAGAAACACCAGGCCATCACACAAACAGTGGCAACAAGTGAAAAATAATCATTTGACTTTAAATGTTAAAATTATATAATTAGATTCTACACCATATACTCTTAAAGTGTACCTAAACCCAAGAACAAAAATGTAACAAGGCGCGACTTACCAGTCCTTTGATGTGGTGGTTTCAATTGTAGCATTACCACCTGTTGATCCTGCTATTAATCCAATGATGGAAACTGAAAAAAGCATCATCAGTGTTCCTAGCTATATTCTATGAACTACAAAACAAATGCCCTCTATGTAAGGGAAAAGAGGAGGTGTTTGTAGTCGAAATCAGCCTAGGCTGACAACACTGCTTCTCTACAGATCCAGTTCAGTGAGCAAGTTTTCAATCTAGGACAGAGAATGTTACTGGCAGGATCATCTAAAGAAAGAAATCTAATGCAGCCACCACGTCTTAGGACCGGTAAGCATCAATATAATAGGTTTGTTTTTAAGTTTAGATATGCCCACAATTTTTCTAGATTTTTTTTTTTTTCCCAATTGTACACTGCATGTGGTGCATGTGCAGTGTGCACTGTCAGTTTCTGCAACAGAGTTCGGCCAAATGCCAGGTTAACATGCACACAGAGGAGTTATATCATCAGCAGCCACTGAATGACTGAAGAAAGAAGGTGGTCCAGAATCTAAATTTGAGGGCACGGCAATGGCAGCGATGAGTAGAGTGGACTCTTCAGTGGTTCTGCAGCTACACAAAGTTCAAGTTTGGCTTTAACCACTTTACCTCAAGGCCACTTCCGCAACTTTGTTTACATTTTAAAAAGCAGTAATTTTCTGCTAGAAAATGTCTTAGAACCTCCAAACATTAAAGATTTTTTAAAATCAGAAGCCCTTGAGAATAAATTAGTGGTTTTTGCTTTTTGTTGCACGATATTTGCACAGCAGTTTTTCAAACACAATTTTTAGGAACTTAATTGCAAAAAAATCCTCCATACATAATCACATTTTTTGGTAAAATATAAAAGATGTTACGCCGAGTAAACAGATACCAAACATGTCATGCTATAAAACTGTGCAACAGACATGTGGCAGGTATTTTTATAGAGGGACCTGGGATCTATGAGACCCCCAAATCCCTCCTCTGCACTTAAAAGCATTAAAAACACCAATATCTGTGATTTTGAATGCTTTCAGATTTTTAAAGATGGTGCTGAAAGTTTCTGAGTAAACCGGAAGTGATGTCAGGTCATCAATTCTGGTTTACAATAAAGGAATGCTGATCAAAGACGATGCCGGTGGGACGGAAGATCCGAGAGAGTGGCAGGAGGGAACTTCCCCTCTTACTACAATAGAGCAGCTACTAGCCGCTTGGACTGCTTGTACAAGGGAGACAACCGCTGGTTCTAGAATAAACAGCTGGCCTTCCATCTGCTAACTGCTAAATCATTAGATAGCACTGAACACAGAAGAAGCCGATCTGAGGGACACTGTGTGATTGGTCATTGCTGTGATCACATGCTCTTGTTTACATGGTTGATCCCCCTTCCTCTTACCAGACAGGAAGGAGAGAGATCGTAGTAATTTGTGAATGATCGAAGAACGAATAGATTAGCAGCTGCAGATCCAGTTTCCCTACACTTTTTTTTAAGCCTTTTCCCCACCCCTCCTACATATATGATCTCCACCCTGTCACTGATGGTGACCTGTATATTAACCCCTCATCACCCTCATCTTACACATCAACCCCTTGATCTCCATCCTCCCACTGTATAAAATCCATGCATTAACCCCTTCACCTCCTCCTATCCCTGTGTACATAAATGTATCCAGCGCACCGCTACCAAGCGTTGTGTTTAACCCCCTCAGTACCAGCTACAAATTGTGATAAAACATGAGATCACTTTGGGGTATTCACTTCCCAAAAAAGGGAAATTTAGGGCTATGAGTACTGTCCTGTTATTTTTGTCTCACCAGGGGGCTGGCTGCCTAAAAATAGAAGGGACAGCCAGCTCCTGATGACATCAGGAAAGAAGATGGTGGTGTATGATCCAGCAGGACAACAATGGATTGGCTGGGCAGGTAAGCATTTGAATAGATGAACCAGCATAAAAGATAAGAGGGGTGGGGGGGCATGGGACAGGACGAACTAAGGTTCCTCTTTTAAACCACTTCCTGAACAGGCCATAGACAAAACACATGCTCAGTGGGAGGTGGAATACCAGGGTTACAGCTGCAGCAATATGCCATAACCCCAGTTTTGTTTTTTTTTTCAACCGGCAATTCTCTAACCGATAAAAGTGGTCTGAGCGGCGGATTTGCAGCTGGATCACTTTTAGAAGCAGTGGGTTGGTTCTTGGGCTTACCTAAATGATCGATAGCCCATGAACCGATCCGGCAGTTGCAGCTGCTTGTCAGCAGAGATGAGTGGAGTTAAATGGCCTCTGCTCATCCCTATGGCCTAGGAGTGATGACATGATGTTACTTCTGGTTCCAGCCTAATGTAAACAAGCCCTTTTTTTAAATTTTTTTTATTTTATGAAGCACTAGATGAAGGTTTTTTTTTTTTTTTTATTTAATCTAATGCTGTAGAGCAAGGGTCTCCAAACTGTGGCCCCTGGGCTGGATGTAGCCCTTTGCTTGCCTTTATCCGGCCCTTGGAGCATTATTCCTTCCACTGGCACCAAAGGTGGAGCAGTATTCCTCCCACTGGCACCTAAGATAGGGAACTAATTCTCCCAATGAAACCAGTGATGGGACACGATTCCTCTCACTGACACCAGTGATGTAATTTGTTTTCCACCTAGTGACCACCGAGCCTATGGCACGGTTTACTTCCACCAATGACAGGGCATTTCATAGTTCCACTGGCCACAGTCAGACCTGCCTACAGTGTTTTGAAAGTTTGGAGACCCTTGCTGTAGAGGAAAGATGTAGGGTCTTACTGATCCCAGATCTCTCTATAAAGAGGACCTGTCACTGCTTATTTCTGTCACAGGGGATGTTCACATTCCTTATAATGGGAATAAAAGTGATAATCATTATTTAAAAAGGGACATTGTAAAAAAAAAAAAAAAAAAAAAAAAAAAAAGTAGTAAAATAAAATTTATTAAAGCCCCCCTCATGCACAGCGATGAACGCATACATAGGTCATCATATAAGTATAGTGCAGCGCTGCGATTTGAGTGAATATAAAAATAAATGAATATGTAAAGTTCATGAAATCTTCAGAAATATACAGATTCTGAAAAGGACTTGAAATGAAAGTCTTCCTTAAATTAAATAGGTGACTGGAACTGTGTAAAACAATGCGCACACACCAATCGCGCATTAAATATGCGCATGTATTTGAACCCAGGCAAAACACAGGTAATCAGCAAAAACACAATACATCTCTCACAGGTAGATCATGGGCCTTGGGTGTAGTGATATACAGCAGGACTCAGAAAGCACACCTCTTCTGGATGCAAAATATACTGGAAACCTGGTATCACTACAAGGCCGATGATCTACCTGTGAGAGATGTATCGTGTGTTTTGCTGATTACCTGGATTGATGATCATATACATGCCCATATTTAATGCGCGGTCGGTGAGTGCGCATTTTTTCTACACAGTTCCAGTCACCTATTTAAGGAAGACTTTCATTTCAAGTCCTTTTCAGAATCTGTATATTTATGAAGATTTTGATGAACTTTATATATTTATTTTTATATTCACTCAAATCGCAGCGCTGCACTATACTTATATGATTTGTGTTATAAGGTTTTGGTGATTCCTTTGAGTGTTCTAGCAGCTGAATATGAGCGCTCGCTATATTCCTTTTTATACATAGGTCATGCCCACTTATGTAAACTGTGTTCAGATCACACATGTGCAGTAACGCCGTGAACGTCAGTGCAAGAGCAATAATTCTAGCACTAGATCTCCTCTAACTCTAAACTGGTAACCTGTCAAAATGTTTAAAGCATCCCCCCATGGAGATTTTTAGGTGCTGTAGTTTGGCGCCATTCCACGAGTGTGTGCAATTTTGAAGCATGATATGTTGAGTATTTACTCGGCATAATATCTTTCATATTGTACAAAAAAATGTGGTTATATATACAGCGTTTTGTTATGCAATTCATTAAAGTATAATTTCTTTTTTTAATTGTGTTTGAAAAATTGCTGTGCAAATACTGTGTGACATTAAAAAATAGCAACAACCACTATTTTATTCTCTATGTCCTCTGCTAAAAATATATATATATGATTTTTAGGGGTTCCAAGTAATTTTCTAGGGGGAAAAAAAAAAAGATTTTGGTACATATCAGAGAAGTGTCAGAATTGTCCTGGTAAGCAAGTGGTTAATCAGTAACATATTCGAGTTAGAAACAATTGAGTACTGTCCGTGATACTTTTTTTTTTTTTTTTTTTATTTGCTCTAACATACAATTTTCAGGACAAGCTTTCGGGGTAGTTCCCCTTCTTGAGCCTGGGTTCACATATATGAGGTGCAGTATATCGCAAATGATTTGCACAGGAACCGCATCGCATTCCTGTTTATATGACATGTGGTTTGTGTGCGGTGCGATTGGAGCCATAAATTTTGTATGGCTCTGATTGCACCGCACCAAAAAGGTGCAGGACCCTTTTTTTGGTCCATACTAACATCGGAACACACAGGTATTCACACCTATGTGCACCGATTCTGATGCAGTGCAGAATTGCACAGTGCAGAAAGGCTCAAGCAGTACGCACAGACCCAACGCTGCACACGAACCGATTTTGGGGTGTTAACATACACACCGCATCGGTTTGCCGCATCAGTGTGGAATTCCAGGCGAATTCCACACCGCATCAGAATCCAGGCTCAAGCAGTACTGCAGATCGCACGGGTATTCACACCCATGTGATCCGATTCTGCACATCGCACCACGCTTTGCGGACCGATTTTGGGGTGTTAACATACACACCTGCATCGGTTTGCATATATGGGGTGCGATTCTGATGTGGTGTGGAATTCGCACAGAAAATGCTGCGAATTCCACACCGCATCAGTGTGAATCCAGGCTCAAGCAGTACTGCAGATCACACGGGTATTCACACCCATGTGATCCGATTCTCCACATCGCAACGCGTTTTGTGGACCGATTTCAGAGTGTTAACATACACACCTGCATCGGTTCGCATATATGGGGTGCAATTCTGATGCGGTGCGGAATTCGCACAGAAAACGCTGCGAATTCCGCACCGCATCAGTGTGAATCCAGGCTGAAGCTCCAAGCAGTACTGCTTGGATCTTGAAAAAAGGGGACATACCCTGAAAATTGTATGTTAGAGCAAATAAAAAAAAGTATCATGGACAGTAGTCATGGTTTCTGTCACAAGTGCAATCACATCAGGAAGCATTAGGGTTAGAAACCCATATCCAGTGACTGAGGCCAGCACACCTTCTCCATGCAGCCCTGCACTGTGTATAACAAGGTCAGCAGTGATCAGGAGGGTCACATGACCCTGTGCCAAGCCGGGTCATCATCATCCTCTCACACACACCAAGCGATGTCTGACCTGCAGCAGCTCCTGAGCATTGGCCACCGCGATCTGCACCTTGACCTGCTCCATGATGGCTCCGGTGTCCACCTTCCCGGAGCCCGAGGACGGCGGTCCGGACGGGGAAAAGTCAGAACTGAAGCCGTCCATTTCTGCTCTGACCGGCCCCGGCTCAAAGTCACACACGTGTGGAGTACTTCCGCCTCCCTGCAGGAAGCGGAAGTCTTCCCGCAAAGCACCACGGTAGTTGAAGTCTTCTCAAGTTCATTGGGCTTTGTACGAATTCAGTCAGAAAATGAATGTGTAAAGCTGATATGACTGGTGTTGTGTGTCGGCGGTGACTGAATTATGGCTCCGCCATTATATAGCATGACTTTATACAATGGTCATGGTCAGGGAGCCGAAGAGATCCCACAGTGCCCCCGCCTGGCCAAAGCTGAAATTACATTTACCTCCAGCAATATTCTGGCGGGCTCTGTAACGTTTACACAATTGTCTATTCCTAAAGCCCTGTTCACACTTACTGCACTGACCTGCGTTTTACCCAAGGTTGCCACCTTTTCTTCAAGCCAAACCTGAACATTGGAGGCGCACAGCATTTTTTTGTGTGTCTGTAGTATACACTATACCAGGGTTTCTCAACCTCTTTCCAGACAAGGCACCCATTAACCACTTCAATACCGGGCACTTGTATCCCCTTCCTGCCCAGGCCAATTTCCAGCTTTCAGCGCTGTCACACTTTGAATGACAATTGCGCAGTCATGCAACACTGTACCCATATGAAATTTTTAGAATTTTTTTCACACAAATAGAGCTTTCTTTTGGTGGTATTTAATCACCACAGGGAGTTTTATTTTTTGTACTATAAACAAGAAAAGTGCAAACAATTTGAAAAAAAATGTTTTTCTTTGTCTCTATTATAAAATTTTGCAAATAGGTAATTTTTTTCTCCATCACTGATGTGCGTTGATGAGTCAGCACTGATAGGCTGCACTGATGGCACTGATAGGAAGCACTGATGCACTGATGATGCTGCACTAATATACAGCAATGATGGGAACTGATAGGCAGCACTGATGGCCGACACTGATAGGAAGCACTGAGGGGCACTGATAGGAAGCACTGATGTGCGTTGATGAGGCAGCACTGATGGCACTGATAGGAAGCAAGCACTGATAGGAAGCACTGATAGGATGCACTGATGTCACTGATAGGAAGTACTGATGGGCACTGATAGGAAGCACTGATGGCACTGATAGGAAGTACTGATGGGCACTGATAGGAAGCACTGATGGCACTGATAGGAAGTTTTGATGGGCACCGGTAGGAAGCACTGATGGCACCGATAGGAAGCATTGATGGCACCGATAGGAAGCATTGATGGGCACTGATAGGAAGCACTGATGGCACTGATAGGAAGCACTGATGGGCACTGATAGGAAGCACTGATGGGCACTGATAGGAAGCATTGATGGGCACTGATAGGAAGCACTGATGGCACTGATAGGAAGCATTGAAGGGCACTGATAGGAAGCAGTGATGGGCACAGATAGGAAGCACTGATGGCATTGATAGGAAGCATTGATGGGCACTGATAGGCAGCACTGATGGCACTGATAGGAAGCACTGATGGCACTGATAGGAAGCACTGATGGGCACTGATAGGAAGCACTGATGGCACTAATAGGAAACACTGATGGGCACTGATAGGAAGCACTGATGGGCACTGATAGGAAGCACTGATGGCACTGATAGGATGCACTGATGGCACTGATAGGAAGCATTGATGGGCACTGATAGGAAGCACCGATGGCACCGATAGGAAGCACTGATGGGCACTGATAGGAAGCACTGATGGTACTGATAAGAAGCATTGATGGGCACTGATAGGAAGCACTGATGGCACTGATAGGAAGCACTGATGGGCACTGATAGGAAGCACTGATGGCACTGATAGGAAGCATTGATGGGCACTGAAAGGAAGCACTGATGGCACTGATAGGAAGCACTGATAGGAAGCACTGATGTCACTGATGATGCTGCACTAATATGCAACAATGTTGGGCACTGATAGGCAGCACTGATGGCTGACACTGATAGGAAGCACTGATGGGCACTGATGAGGTAACAATGATGATGCTGCACTAATATGCAGCAATGATGGGAACTGATAGGCAGCACTGATGGCCAACACTGATGAGTGGCACTGACAGAGTTCACTATATATGGACCACTTATGTACTTTTACATGTTGATCATATCCCACCTTAATCTCAGTTCCACTAATCTATCCTCATAGCTGATCTCCTCCATGCCTCTTATCAGTTTGGTTGCCCTTCTCTGCACTTTCTCCAGTTCCCCAATGTTATTTTTGTGAATTGGTGACCAAAACTGAACTGCATATTCCAGATGAGGTGTTACTAATGATTTGTACAGGGGTAAAATGATATCTCTCTCTGGAGTCTATATCTCTCATAAAAAAGAAAATGCAGCTTGGCATTGCATGCCATTATTAAGCTTGTGATCTACCAGAACCCCCAGATCCTTCTCCACCATTGATTCCCCCAGTTGTACTCCCCCCAGTATGTATGATGCATGCATATTCTTCAGCCCCCAAGTGCATAACCTTACATTTATCAACATTAAACCTCCTTTGCCACATAGTTGCCCAATTACACAGTGCATTGAGGTCAGCTTGTAAATTGAAGACATCCTGTAAGGACGTTATTCCACTGCACAGCTTGGTGTCATCTGCAAAGAAATGATATTTTTTAATCCCAGACCCTATATTATTTATAAATATATTAAAAAGTAAGGGTCCCAACACTGAACCCTGGGTTACACCACTGACAACCCTAGACCATTCAGAGTATGAATCATTAACCACTACTCTCTGAATACGATCTTTTAACCAGTTTTCAATCCATTTAAAAACTGATTTTCCAAGCCTGTATACTCCACTGTACACATTAGCCATGTGTGGGGAACTGTGTCAAATGCTTTTGCAAAATCCAAGTATATTATATCCAAAGCCACTCCTCTCTCCAAGGTTTTGCTCACCTCCTCATAAAAAAAAATTAGATTGTTTTGACAACTTCTGTCTTTCATGAATCCATGCTGTCTGTTACTCATAATATTTTTATTCCCAGCAAGAACTCATCTTTCTACTTCCATAACCTACCACCAAAGAACAACCCGCAGTAAATTCTCCTGCTCCTGACAATTGCAGCGATACCACATACGTATATGAATATTAGTTGCATGTACCCATAGTACAGCCCAGAAACAATAGTGCACATTTTGTTTTTTTTTAAATCCTACCTAAAACACACTGACACTGACACTAACTGACACTGATACTAATTTAAAAAATGTTTTTTTGGTTTTTTTTAAATCCTGCCCAAAATATGCTGACCTGACCTTTGTGACCTTGGACCTTAACACTAACCCTGGCACTGACATAGATCAAACTTTGATACAGGTATTGTTTAATAATTTTTTTCTTTTCTTTACTATTTTTTTTAACACATATTTGTGTTTTTTTCTCTCTGCAAGGAGAGAGAGAAAGAGAGAGATATAATGTATCTCCTCCATCAGAGAGAAAAAACACAGGGGCAGGCTTCACAGTGACTGATAGCCAATCAGAGGCTATCACAGCGATCAGGCGATCCGGATCCAGGAGTTCCAAGTCTGGATTGGTAGTATGGGACTGGAGGCTCTGGGTGAGACCCCGATCTCTGTGCTGGGAGCGCACTGTGCGGTGCACTCCCAGCACAAAGACAGATACACATACACTATATTGCCAAATGTATTGGGACACCCCTCCAAATCATTGGATTCAGGTGTTCCAATCACCTCCATGGCCACAGAAGTCGTTAACTGGAGAGTCAATAGCTAAAGACCTCCAAACTTCGTGTGGCCTTCAGATTAGCATAGAGAGCTTCATGGAATGGGTTTCCATGGCCGAGCAGCTGCATCCAAGCCTTAGATCACCAAGTGCAATGCAAAGCGTCAGATGTAGTGGTGTAAAGCACATCGCCACTGGACTTTAGAACAATGGAGACGTGTTCTCTGGAGTGACGAATCATGCTTCTCTGTCTGTCCAGGGCATCCTAGTGGCGGTGGAGCTGTGCCAGCTTGGGCATTGCTCTCCTCTTTTTGGGATGTGATGTCTCCTGGTAGCGGCCTTGGTGCAGATCAGCCCCTCTACAGCCCGGCCAGGGGATACCACTGGATCCTGGGAGATAGCCAGGCTGGAGTGAGGTAGCCATGAATTGCACAGAGGAACTTGGTGTAGGAACATTCCAGTCTGAATAATGTGTCTGGGTTTCCAGTGGACAGAAACCTGGGTACATGATTCAAAACCCAGACTGTCTGGGTGAATACCAGCTAGATGGAAACCCTAAACACAGGTCACCGTAAGGATACATAGAAAACAATTGTTTTTTATGTGTCCTGTTCACTCCACAACACTGGTGTCATGCGCAGTGCGTAAAATGCTACTAATGCATTGTAGCGCAACATATGTAAACGTACCTCAACACAAGACTGTTGGGGGGGGGAAAAAACACTGTTTATTGTTTTGTCTTTTTTGTAGAGAGTGTGTAGTGGAAAGCTGGCTAGTGAAGTGTCTCTGTTGCAGGGTTTATAGAAATAGAGAAGTGATATCCTCTGACATGATGGGGGAGGGATGTTGGAGATAATTGCTGGATTATTCTATATGACTGACCAATTTGAACCTTCTGCTGTGTGTGTTGGACTTGATTGGGATCTCTAGAAATTGGAGTATTCCTTTTTTGGAGATTGGACCGACAGGGCTGGACTGTTTACTCATGAAATTCCTTGTGTGAGGATTAAGTGTCCTTCAGCCATTTTATAATTCTTCTGTTGCCCCCTCTGGAAATGATGATTCACATTAATCTTGTTCCAGCAAACTGTACATACAGGTGAAACTTGAAAAATTTGAATATCGTGCAAAAGTTCATTTATTTCAGTAATGCAACTTAAAAGGTGAAACTAATATATGAGATAGACTCATTACATGCAAAGCAAGATAGTTCAAGCCGTGATTTGTCATAATTGTGATGATTATGGCTTATAGCTCATGAAAACCCCAAATTCACAATCTCAGAAAATTAGAATATTGTGAA